AGGGACGATTTTTCGAGGACTGGTTCAGTAAGTCATCAATCTGTTTGCCGGTATTCAACATGTTGCTTCACTGTATTTATTCCTAGCCATGCATTGCGACTGAGGGGTGACATGATTGAGGTTTATAAGATTATGCATGGGAAAGAGCAGGTAGAGAAAGAGGTACTTTTCTCCCTTTCTCACAATACAAGAACTCGTGGGCACTCCATGAAATTGCTGAGCGGTCGGGTTAGAACGGATAAGAGGAAGTACTTCTTCACCCAAAGAGTGATTAACACTTGGAATTCACTGCCACAGGAAGTGGCAGCGGCTACAAGCATGGACGGCTTCAAAAGGGAATTAGATAAGCATCTGGAGCAGAGGTCCATCAGTGGCTATTAGCCACAAGGTAAAGATAGGGACTCTGGGGCAAGGGATGCTCTGTCATCTTGGTGCTTGGGGGGGTCAACAGTGGGAGGGCTTCTAATGTCCTGGCCCCACTGGTGGACCTCCTGATGGCACTGGTATTTCTGGCCACTGTGGGATACAGAGTGTTGGACTGGATGGGCCTTTGGCCTGATCCAACATTGGCATCTCTTATGTTCTTATGTTCCTGGTCCTTTTTCACTGGAGATGCCAGGGGTTGAAATTTCTTCCTTTAGGAGGTGCGATTGTCAGAAGAAAATAAAAAAGTTTCAGTTTTGTTTTTGCATGTGGGTGGGTATTCTGTAATAATTTTTTGGATACACTATATTTTTAATATGCTAGTTGTGATAATTTCATGCCAAGTAAAAATGTCCATAGTCATATTTTATGTTCCTAAAGTAACAGAATGACTTTCAAACTAGTAACAGAATGACTTTCAATTTAGAAAAGACAAAAAAATGCTAATGTAGCATTTTTTTCAATTTTCCCAAAAATTTCCGTTTCCCCCTGAAAAAAAATAGAAAAAAAACAGGGTTTTTTCCGAGCTTCAAAATTTCCGGAAATTTTACATCTCTAGGCCAGCTCTGGGCAAATTTCTAGACAGCTATTTAGCTAGACTGAAGTCCCCAACCTCACTGGGCCTATAGGCAATCCTGAGAACTGTGAGTGCCACCACCAAACGGCTGCCATGGGGACTGGGCCCGCAGGTCTTGTTGCAAGGCAGAGATGTTCTGCCAGGCGTTTGGCTGAGGACAGCCATGGTACAGTATAAGGTCTGGCACTCTCATACCTCCCCCCCACCTCCTCATACCCTCCCCCCCAGGGGGCCTGTGAAAATTTTATTGTTAAACTATTTTCTCTGGTTCTCCTAGATTAGAGTCCACGCACCTAACCACTACATTATTGAAGGTTTCACCTTTTAATGTTGGTAGACTTGTATTCTGCGGTGTGTTGTTATGTTGAATTTTATTGTATGCTGCCCTGACCCTTGCATGCAGGCAGGGTTATTTTTGGGCAGGAACGCACAGGAACAGAGTTCCGGCTGGCTCCCGAGTTGGCCACGCCCAACAGGAACTCATTAGCATAATAGGCCACACCCAACAGCAGGAACTCATTAGGACCGGCTACATTAGGGGTGTGTGGCCTAACATGCAAAGGAGTTCCTGCTACCAAAAAAGCCCTGGGTTTTGACCACGAACAAGGTCAACAGAATAAGAAGCCACACTTCTGGTAACATGGGGGTGTGGCCTAATATGCTAATGAGCTGTGCTGTCGGGGCTGTGGTCTAATATGCCAATGAGTTTCTGCTGTTGGGTGTGGCCTATTATGCTAATGAGTTCCTGCTGGGCTTTTTCTACAAAAAAAAGCCCCGCTTGCAGGGAAGGGCACCCTAAAAATCAGACGGACAGACAGACAGACAGACAGACAGATATTGGGAGGTTCCAAACCAAGCATCCTCCTGTGATGCAAACTGCCGAAGACAGAAAAGTGATGTCTCCTGGGCTCTTCTGAGGCATCGACGGCTCCAAAGGGATGTAGGAAAAGTCAGGATTAGCTCTTTGCTTTCAGGGAAATATGCTTTGAGAACAAAGGAGGTGGACACCAGAAAATACATTATTGGGCACCATGGGGCCAACGGGCACTATGTTGAGGAACACTGAGCTAGATGACAGGACCATGGAAGAAATCACTGCCATTAAAAGGTACTGAGAACTTCAAATGCCTGGCAAGGGATGCCTGTCCTCCTCTGAGGACATTGCTCTGTTCTGCTGAGCAGCTCTGTCTTCTGCGAGCGTCTTCTCTTTTTGAAGCGGCTTCATCTTTCAGATACCAACAAGAAAGGATGAAAAGTGAGCTCCGGAAGGAGGGACAGCATGTCACATTCACATACACTTAAGCAAAACCTACAGCTTGCAGGATTTTGAACACACTGGTGATGATTCAGAACAAGACAAAAAGCGGTATGTTGTTAATCAAAACCCAGCAGCACATTTTCGACAGAAAGCATCTGAATGCAACAAAAGCAGCATGGGACATTTCAGCCTATCTATTTTACAGTATAAAATGACTGCCAGATGGATTCGGAGAGGGGAGGGGAGGGGAAGGAGCAAAAACTTTTGCTCACGGGATAATCTTGCACAACAAAATAAAACAAGAAGGTCCAAGTGGCACGTTTGCGGGCCTCAAGACACTCATCACTGATGTAGGGAGCTCTTCGTTTTGCATATGTACATTGGCAGCTGCCATCCTCCAAAAAGCATCAAAATCCCCAGGAAAAGAAGGAAAGAAATGCTGAGAATAAGCAAAAGTCTGGGGCTCCATTCCCACATCGTACTACTGGAACGGAGGCCATTTGCCAATGTTAAAATTGCTATGTTATACATTTGACTATCAGAACAACAAGGGTAGAGCCAAGCGTGCGGGTCCTTTTCATTTGAGCATACCTTCCTACCAGGCAACGATCAAAAGAGAAGGAACCCTGGGACTGGCCTAGGCTTGCCATCCTCAAGGTGGGGCCTGGAGATCTCCCAGAATTACAACTGATCTCCAAATGACAGAGATTGGTTCCCCTGGAGAGAACAGCTGCTTTGGAGGATGGACTCTGTGGCATTATACCCTGCTGAGCCCCCCCCCCAAAAAAACCTTCACCCTCGCCAGGCTCCACTCCACAAATCTCCAGGAATTTCCCTACCTGGAATTGGGAACCCTACTCTGGACCCATCCTCATGGCTCAAATACTCAAATTACACACAAACACCATCAGATTTCACCACATAGAAGTGGCTCCCATGCCAAGAGTGACCGGTCTGGATGAGGCCTGAATGAAAGACTTGGTTTTAGGAATGTTACACCTTTGTGTGTGTGTGTGAAGTGCCAGCCAACTTATGGCCAACCCCCTTTTCAAGGCGAGAGGCGAACAGAGGTCGTTTTGCCAGTGTTTGCCTCTCGGCTCCTGAAAAATTCTGTCCGTCAGAATTTTAACAAAAACAACTGGATCACAAAGCATGTCAAAACTGGCCCATAAACTCACTTCTTTTAATTATCTCCTTTTCTTCTCTGAATTGACCTAGAGTAAAATCCCTTGAGATTTGTGCACCTCTTCACATTAAAAAACTCAACATTTCAGATCATAAACATGGCACTTAATATCCCCCATACCTTTATACCTCACTTTAATCTTATTATCTTACACTAGAAACACCACTGTAACTGATATTTGTATATATGTTTTGAAATGTTTGATATAATATCTTATGTAGTAGCAACATTTTGCTTAAGTGTTGCATCGATTGTAATTCCCCTGTTATCTAAATAAAGGTTTTGAAAACTGGGGGGGAGATGACTTGAAATATTATTTTTAAAGACATCAAATGTTTAAACAAAATAACCAAAGTCTGGGCTTACTGTTTTGAAATGATCAAAAACTGGGGCTGAGCTAAATTGCAGAGGAGGGTATATTACAGAAACATTCCCCACCCCCACATTTTTGAGGAATCTTTTTTCAGCTGTTTTATTAATGGGGGAGAGGTACTGCAGATAGGAGGAATGTCACCCCAGCATATACCCAGGTTTTCAAATCCATGCCTGGCATTTAACAAGCAAGCTTCTGTGTGTTCTTGACCAGCCACCATTTCACCGCCATTTTGCCGCCCGTGTTCCAATTGGCCTTTCTCATTCCAAATAAGAGTGACGTCATCAAGCAGCCAGTCAGGTGAAACTACATCGCTAAAGGCAGGCAAAGCTATAAACAAGCTTCATCAGCCTTCAGCAGTACCATCCAATAGCCAAACTGGACTAGTTGTGTGAAGTGACTGCTTGTTGGAGAGAGGGCTATTTTCAGATAAAACATGGAAGCTCATCGGAGCTACACACAGTGACAAACAGGAGAAGAAGAAGTGTATGTGGCAGGGGGCTTTGAGGAACATTTCAGACCCCTTGGAAGCTTCTTTTTTTGTGCCGTAAAGGCATGAGAACATTAAGAAACCATATTCCCCCCCCCCCAGGTTGATTCACATGAAACTGTATAAAGGAAAAAAAGAAAAATCCATCCGCTTTACTTCCCCCCTCCCCTAAATAACCACCGGTCTAAGTAAGCTTCAGATCCCATCTACCACGTTCGCTCCATGCATTCTGTTTTGAATAGTGAAATCCATCTCTTGGCTTCAACCATAATGTACACAAATCTCAGTGCAGGCTGATTCATAGTTTATTGAGACAGCGATATATAGATATGGATGACAGAGAGAAGCCACAATGTGAAATAATAAATGTGGGCAAAGTAGTATTTTTTTTGGCTGTGCGCACTATCCTTAAAATGCAATCCTAAATAAATATGCACAGCTGGAGTATTTACACATATTTTAAATCAACGCATGTAGATCATTGACATGAATGATCCCAAAGATGAAGACTTTTTTTTAAAAAAATAAGAAAATTCTAAAAGGTTCTAGTCAATAATACTACATAAAAGTCTATCCCACACTAACATTTGTGCACACTTTTTCACAATCTTATTCTGCGGTCTGAAACAAATAGGCCTACAGTCCGCACTTCCTGTGGCCCATACAAAACAAGCCTATGGTTCTGTCTCTTACCTGTAATCTGACTCTGTCCTTGTGGATTAAAAGGGCTTGGTGCAGAGTTCAGGGAGGGCCGTGGGCTCTGGGTCGGGACCCCTACTCTCATACTGGGATGAGGGATGCGCCCTAAATCACTGAGTCGCTCAGAGAACAAACTAGGTTTAGAGTCATCAAGCTTCTGTCTGTGCCCTGGAAACAGCAAATCATAAAATAAAAGTGTTGTTAGCATGAATGAACAATGTACTATTCAATAATAACTGTTTATAACTCAAGGACCAAGAAAGGTTTTGGGTTTAACCTGGAGCTGGTGGCAGGGAAGGATATTTCTTCACAGAGGGCAGTTTATGTGGTTGTCTTTAAACATGTGCAAATCGCCGAGATTTACACCAGCATGAAATCACCACATGGGACAATCAATAGGCACGAATTTTGTAACTCAGGGCCTCCCTTCGAGACTATCATCATCAAATGGGTGCTAGTATGTGGGAGATCTGTAGGAAGAATGAGTACATGTGGGAATAAAGCGTGAGAGCATTCTTCCACAGCAATTCTGCTTATCAGAAAAAAGACCATGTAGCATAAAAGGAGGTAACTTTTTTAAAAAAATAACTACTTTTTGCTCATTCTGTAACCTGTTACTGTCTTTATATCAGATTTAAAATCCCACAAAATTAAAAAGAAAATGGCTATTGCCATTAGCAATGGGTCAGGTGAGACTCCATGAAGAAAGGGGAAGGCATATTGTCTCAAGGAAGATTTTAAAAGTTACCAATTTATGTCACTAATGCCTCCAGACTCTAAATTTCTTTTCATTTTATTCACCATTCATCGGCAGGTTCTCATTTCCTGCTTCTGTTTTGTGCTCTTCATTCTGTGCTTGTCTTGCTTTATTTCTCTTAAGATGTTCTGAATACTTAAACCCTTTCTTCTTTTAAATAGAAATGAAGGCTTTGTTTTTTTTTTAAATACTGTAAGAACTTAAGGCCCTACTATTGTTTTATCATGTCTGATGTAATACAGCATAACAGTAAAGCAAAGTTGGACAATGACTGGCTTGAGGCCCCAGCTTGGCCCCAAATTCAAAAATTTACCTCAACTGATATTTCCTGAGGTACCTCCGTAAACAAGGTTGCCCCAACATGTTCATTTGACAAAATATTTTAGCAGCCTTCTTCAAGAGTGCCTGATTTAGCAAAGAGTTGGCACAGGGGGCTTCACTGCAGACGATTTCACACTTGGTTGTGGGGAAGAATGAATGTATGCCCCCCGCTCCCAGTATATCTACCCTACAGGGACCAGGTCATCAGCTACTGTGGGAGCGAAGGGAAATATTGTGTTGGGTGTGTGTGGGTGATGTTGCATCACACATTGCTGCGGTGTCCTAGCAATCCCCCAATCCTGATCTTTCACCAGGCATAAGCTCTACACAGGCAGAGACATATACGAGCAGGCTTATGTTTTATGTATGTGCTCTATGTATAGTATGTGGGGATAAACCACATACATAAACACACTCAAAATGGCTCTAAAACTATTTCTTGTCAAGACATTACCACCTGCTCGGTACTCAACAGTCTCTCTACAATGCAGCCAGTTACCACTTACAATTTCCTTTCTGTAAACAAAAAAGCCCATGGGTAAAAAAAAACAACCCTAAACCAACCCCAACAACTCAAACATTTTGCCTACCTCAAGCCCATTTAACATACTGGGGTAAAAAATATCCCAAGAGTTCATTAAGAAACTCCCAGGAAACAATCTTAAGTGCTGTAGAGAGAGCCCCTCCTGGCAACCTGGAGAATATTTACCTCACGGGGAGAAAAATACCCCAACCCACAAAATAAATTATTAACTGTAGATGCTTTAAAATGTTTTCCTTTAAAATCCATGAAATTTTATATTAGCTGTCTACTGTCTTAGGTTCAAACCATCGGGGGTTTTTTGTTGTTGTTCTAATTTTTTTTAAAAACAGCTTTGCAAAGAAACCATACTGGCGGTGAAGCGATGCAAAAAACAAACATTCTGCCTCATGTCACACTTTTGTGTGACATTTTTCTACTCCAAAGATACAGTGAAATTTGATTTGAGGTGGAAAGGCAAGATGATGGAGGGATGGAGGGATGACAGACAGATAGGTACTACAGGGTTAGAGGGGTTAACTGTACTTCTGAGTTGACTGGCAGCAACTTTTGTCAGCCCTTGTGGAGGCACCAGTGAGGGCTCAAAGCAACAGTGCCACACGGGGTTGCCAATTTGGCCGTGGCCATCTCCTGGAATTACAACTGGTCCCCAGACTACAGAGACCAGTTTCCCTGGGGGAAAAGGCTGCGCAGGATAATGGATTCTAAGGCATTATACTCTGCTGAGGACCCATCCCCTCCCAAATCCCACCCTCCCCAAGCTCCAGGAATTTCACAACCTGGAGTTGGCCATGTAGTAGTACTGCCGCCGCCATTGCCCCATGCTAGGGCTGCCAAATGGGGGCGGGGAATCCCCCGCTTTGACGGCTCGATTTTTGACACAACAAAAATCGGGCCCAGGGGAAACCCCACCCCCGCGTGCGCGTCACCCGGATGTGACGTCACACGCTGGGGGTGGGCCACAGCCATTTGAGGGGAAAACACAGCGTGCGACGTCACATCCGGGTGATGCGCGCGTGCACCCCGGACGCCAGCCGGGAGCCCCCCGCTCCCGGCCGAAAACAATTTGGCAACCCTACCCCACGCCTCAGCGCTGTCACTGCCACCTGTGCCCAGAAGTCAGGAGAGATAACCTTCCCATAACTCTTTGCTACTCTGGTCTCTTTAAAAATAGCTTGGGAAGCTATATGCTGGCGCTATAGGTCTCCCTGAACTCTTGAGAAACTGCTTCCTCTTACAAAAGTCTGGCCGCCATTTTGGTTGCCGAGTTCTTCGCGAGAAGTTGCAAAGTGTTTTCCGAGTTCTTTGCGAACAGGCAGGGACAGCAGCTGATGGACAGGCGGGCAGCTGGCTAGCCGGTAGCCCCTGGGAGGTTGCCACCAAGTGTTCCCTCTAAGCTGAGCTAGTGTGAGCTCACTCACAGTTTTTTAGCCTCCAGCTCACAGATTTTTGTCTTGGCTCAAGAAGGATGGCTCCAGAGCAAACTAATCTATGCAGTCGCCAAATCGCTCGCTCACAACCTTAATGCCAGTAGTTCACAAAGTAGAATTTCTGCTTACAAGACTCAACAGCTTAGAGGGAGCACTGGTTGCCACCCGCCAGTCCACTGCCTAAAGTGGCTGTCTCAGATCACCTCGTGAGGAAACCAGCCCGGCCGTCACCAAGTTATCAGTGCTGGGGGAGAAACGCCTTTAGGGAACATTCTTTAGATGTAGAAAAAACAAAGTGGGTAATACGAAATACAAGGTCTCGTGTTAGGCAAGCCCTCTCAAATAAGTTTGAAGGCATGCAAAATTAAATTATCGAGAATATTTCTGTAATAATATAAACAGTTTTTTCCTCCCTCGAGGGCACTCTTAATAAAGACAGGAGAAGGCAGGCAGGAAAAGAAACACATGCAAACCCAAAACAAGTGGATGAGAGTGGGGGAGAGAGAGGCTGAACACAGACAGATACAAAAGGATAGCTTCTCATCTGACTGTTAGTGATGCTGTGATAGCAGCTTAATTAATAGCTTTTAAGGTCTTAATTAAATCCATTCAACAGTCCCTCCTCTGCGCAAACACCTCAGACAGATCTATTGTTCCTTAACTGGCTCCCTCATATCAACTTTCAGTTCTAGCGGTGCTCTTGGCTATTTTCCAGCCTATTTTTTCCCAGTTGAGTTTTAACTCTTTATCTTTAATGTCTGTTCTGAAAGCATGTGAGGTAAAGCTAACATGAGCATGTGGCTACACAGAAGACTGCATGCCTCTGAAATCAAATCCATGCCCCAAGTGAACTTAATGCCTCCCCCCCCCAAAGAATCACAAATCACAAAAAACAACATATAAAAGCCAAAAAGCCAGCAGCAGCAACCTATGTCTTATGCTGCTACTGCTTAGAGCTACATTTCTCAGTCTTTTTCTGCTGCTACTGGTTAGAGCTACATTTCTCGGTCTTTTTCTGGGCTTGCAAAATATCAAAACCGGTGCCAAAACCTGAGAGACTCAGTAGCAATATTTCTCTGGAGCAGCAACAGATTCTCTTATTCCCCACCTTTCTTCCCAGTGGGGACCCAAAGTAGCTTACGTCACTCCTCTCCTCCATTTGATCCTCACAACAACCTTGTGAGGTAGGTTAGGCTGAGAGAGTGTGACTGGCCTCTGATGAAGGGAGCTCTGACTCTTGATAGTTTATACCCCCCCAAATCTTACTGATCTCTAAGGTATGACAGGAGTTGAAACTCGGGCTGTAGTCACATGAGAAGTTTACCCCAGTAGTATATCGGCTCTAAATAAGCCACTTGAGTTTGGGTCCAGGGGTGTGCACTCGGTAATAGCCGAACCGAAAAAATACCCCAAAAATAAATTGTTGGTATTTTGGGGGTATCACATCAGGGATCTGTATTCGGCTACCAGTATAGCTGAACCCGAAAAAGCCGATATTATCTGGCTTTTTTCAGGTTCATTTTGCTATACCAAAAACAAGGTATTTAAACCTAACAGCCTGAGCCACCAGTCAGCTGTTGGGTTTAAATGCCTTTCTTTCCTTCCCCCAGAGCAAGGAGGGAAAGAAAGGCATTTTAACAATGCTGGGGTTCCCTGCCTGATCTTCTTCAGGTGCCTGGCAGCCTTCAAATCTGCCCAGGCCTAGGTAGGGGATTGGATGTTGACAGCTAGGGGCCAGATAACCTCCTGTTCATCACAGCTTCCCACCCATAATCACTGTCCCCTTCTTGAATAAGTTACCACACTGTCAGGTAGCACATTCCCCACTGCTTGAATGTCCTATATGCTCCTTTAGTTACTTACGAGGACATGCTCCAGAGAGCTTTCTTCTCATGGAAGGCTATATAAAGGGCACAAAAACAAGTCCATCTTCCTCATGCCTGGTGTCCTACTGATTAAAACTGCAAGCATCTGCTTGGCATGGAGAAGGTCCCAGGTTTAAATACTCTGCACCTCCAGTTAAAAGGATCAGGTGATGTGATGTGAAAGACCTCAGCCTGAGACCCTGGTGAGCTGCTGCTGGTTTGACTTTGATGGACCAAGGGTCTGATTCAGTATA